TGTTGAACTGCCATGTTTCTACCGTAGCCCAGAACGGACAAATCAAACACTGGCTCTAAATAAGGCCTTTCGCTAACATAGTTTCTCCTACACGCTTGGAAGGCTGAGCTGTATTCAAATGGGGGCAATTTGTAACTTAATTTTGAGATGCCACTGAATCCTACACACAGGTCCTCTAATAGAACAATGGCCATGTATCAGGGACAAAAAAACTCTTGTCATTTATCAGAAAAGAAGCCTATTAAGTATGTATGTATTTAAATACATAATACAGACAGAATTGTATAAAAAGTTCCCTAAACGGGAAATAATCTGCTCAAAATGTATCCTAATCACCCATTTTACACAAACTTGTTAAGTAGTTAACTCTTGTAGTTACTGAGTTCACTGTTTGGGTTCATTGTACAGTTTTAAATATAATATGAAATATCCCTAAAATATATCACTTAGTCAGGGATGGTCAGTTTAATAAATGATAGAAAAGGGTCCTTTAAGGAAAAAGGTTTGGAACCACTGACCTTGTGGCCACCATTTGAACCAGCACTCCATCGTTCTCCGGCAGGCTGGATGGAGGCAGGATGGACTGTTGAGTTGGTGGCGTCCGATGGGCTGACATACTTATAAGATCCAGTGCTGCCTTTGCAGTTCTGCATACATCCGGTCTGTGCCGGGGTGAGGCAGATGTTTTTCCATGTCTTTGATGCAGAAGGTGATGATTGATTGTCGCTTTCAATTCTGATGAGTGCACTGCTGTCGCATGCTCACGCGTCTTTGGCCAGCGTTCATCACTCTGCTTACGAAACAGGGCACCCTGACTCCAATGACTAAGCTCTGCCAGAGCCAGGAGTGGCTTACCTCTGGTTATGTCGTCAGCTGGGTTGTTCTGGGTGTCTGCGCACTGTCAAGCCTGACGGCGGTCGGTCAGCTCCTGTATCTCCAAAATGCAACAAAGACCTTAAAGCTGTATGAGTCTGATTGGAGCCACTCCAATGCTGTGGTGCAGCCAGATGCCAGTGTTGTCTGCCGGATTGTGAGTGATGTAAGACTAATGGACTACCACAGTTGGTTGATTACTTGCCCACTGGCTTTGATCGAACCCTCTTTCAGCCAACAGGCCCTTTCGATTCACAAAAAAAAAAAAAAAAACTGGATTCACAAATGCCAGTTTGAAAGTTGTAAATGTTAGGTACATTGTTTTTTGTGTATTTACAGATCTTTTTTTGTATTGTGTATGTATGTGGAATGTGGATTACACATGTACACATGAATTGTCAAACTGTTTGTTCACTATATATCATTTCTCCATGCTCAAAACCGCAAAACCATTATTGTAGGAAAAAAACCATGTAAATTCATATAAAATGTTATAAAAATGTGTAGAATAAATATAAATTGTGAATGTATCATGTCTTGTGTGTCTGTACTGGAGGCTGCATCACAATCTGAACTGATTCAGGTGAGAGACCATATACTTGAAAAGCATGGGAGAGATTTCAGGTCTAGCAGTAACATTAAAAGCCACATGAGAGTGAAAAGCTGTATCACTGCAGCACAGAGGTTTAGGCGCAGTCGGACCCACACAGGTGAGAAGCCGTATACTTGTAAAAGACATGGAAGAGGTTCAGTTCAGTAAAAAGATATAAAATGTCTCAGGTTTGGCGATGGGTCCATTCTTGTATTTACTTATATTACAGTATATTTCAGCAACAGTGTTTCTCAGAACAGCAAGCATTCTGCATTATGATTCATTTAACATCTCTTACTTTAAATATGTTTTACCAATAATACTATTGTCATGGAAAGTGAATACATATTCAACCGCTCTATTTACTCATGACATTTGATTAAAAACTGACCAACACTTTTGTGTAGATGTTAACATTTGGATTTAAATTATTATTCACATTTTAACCTAGAATATTTATAATGGTTAACAGCTGTAGTGACAATAGTTACTTTGCAGGTCAACATAAAAAAGGTCTAATGAGCCTATAAAATAGGATGTGTTATTAAACTATCCAACAGGTTGTAAAATGGGTGAAACTGAGCTCCACCTCAACTAGCTGCTACATAACAGATATTAACACATTATGGCATCCACAGTTCTACAAAATGTATATTTTAACATGTTTAATTTTAAATAAATTTTGCTGAAACTACTTCCGACATAACATAACATTTTATACCCACCATGAGTTACACTGTGGTCTTTCTACTGAAATAATCTCAATACTTCTTCCACTGCTGCATCGTTGTTTTTTTATGCAGAAGCACAAATTTTAAATAAAATACCATCAGATGAAAGTGGAACAAAAAGTTTGGAGCTTAACATCCAGCAGAATTAAACAATAAGAATAATATTATTTGGTATTCTTTTTCTTAACTACTACTTTGGACTAACAGTATTTTTTGTTACTTTGCAGATAATGATTTTGCATGAAAACAAAGGAATTGTGGTCGAAGAACAATTTGTCAATATGTCAAGAAAATGGGTAATTAGAGAGAGGTTGAATATCAATTTCAGTAAATTCATGTGCTTCCTGTAGTTTTGTTTACAGTAAATGTGTTGTTGTAGAATCCTATAAAGACACAGGCCTCAGACATATTGGTCTATCTGATGATATCTGTTTTCAAACAAAGTGTTGACTAAGAGATTCCTTATTAATATTGTAATTCCTGGTTTTTACCACCAACTCTCACAAGACAAGAATTGGTTTTTAAGCTTCCAATAGTATTATTAGTAAAACATATTTAAAGTAAGAGATGTTAAATGAATCACAATGCGGAATGGCTGCTGCCCATGCTAAATAATTATATGTAACTTTCACTATCACATAAATATTTAGATTTATCTCCATCGCACTGTATCTAGATCAGTCACAATCACAAGACACTGATTTTTTGAAAAATGTTTGACCTTTGGCAATCACATCACACTGTTATTACAGCCGCCACTGTGCACTCAAATAGACTATGTAAAGACACACCCTGAAAGAATGTGAACAACTTTAACTTACCTGAACCTCTTCTGCATGTTTTGCAAGTATACAGCCTCTCATTTGTTTGGATGCTCAGGTGTCTCCCTAGTTGGGACTTATACTTCCACATTTTAAAGACTTTTTACCTGAATGAGTGTTACAGTGAGTCTTAAACATGGTAGGGTTATACACATTGTTAGTGTGACTACTGCTTTGGTGATATCTCTTCTGGGGTTTTGGCTTTTAGTCTCTTAGTTAACTGGCATCATTCATCATTTTATCTTTTAAGTAAGTTTTCAAGCAGAAATGCCAAAAAATTAGGTCCTTTGATCTGTTGGTCAGACACATAAGTAAGAAGTGAGGTAGTGTATAAAAATAGTTAAAAGAAGACACATTGACATTTAATAGGACTTCTTACATGGTGATGGTAATATAAAACAGTGATGTTAGTTGCTCTGAAATGTAAAATCTGCAAAGATAAGAGAAGAGAAGAGGAGATATTACTTGAGAAATGTACACTAGAAAGCTATAATCTTAAGTACAGGAACATTTCCACCTGATCCCAAGAAACAATGTAATAAAAGTGAATATTACATCACATTACGACTCATATAAAATGTAAATAACCATGAAGTGAAAACACAGTGACACTGGGTGTAAACTACTCCAATAAAGTACTTTCATCTTTACAGTAACATATTGTACCATACAATCTACATTTAAATGCAGCACTTAAAGAAAACTCAGAGGTTTTGTAGAGCTTCAGCTGCTGTAAATCCTACAAACCACCAGAGGTCACTGTGATGCATCCGTCCATCCCTAAGTCCATGTTCAACTTTAAACTAAAAGTGATTCTGAGATGTTTCATAAATAGAAAGTCAGCAAAAACAACAACATCACACTATTATTTAACATTTCACATTACATTAACCTTTTTCACAGCAGCAATTCTGACATGAAACAGTAGGGTAAACACATTTGTTACTAATGATACTAAGCCTTTCCAGTGAACAGTAGCACCCTGACTCTGTCTGACCCAAATGGAACCTAAATTAGTATAATTGGTACCATCCATGTTTACTTAATCAACTCACTCAAAAACTATTGTGCATAAAAAAACTAAAATGTAGCGATGGAAGAAGTATTGAGATTATTTCTGTCAGTCTTTTGAACTTAATTTGCACAAATGAGATCATTTCAAAAATTAACATTTATGACATTTGGCAAATGCTGTTATCCACAGATATCATTATTAGAAGAGCCACCACTATAAATATATAGAAGACTGTGATAAATATACTGTAAGCTGTGTAAATACAAATACGCACTTATTGCCAAACTGTGAAGTTATACATCTTTTTACTGCACCTCTTCCAGGTGTTTTGCATATACACAAATTCTCACAGCATATTTCAGTCATGAACAACAGTTTGCAGTATGTCACAGTAAACCATTGACAGTGAGCACACTGACTCACAGAAAGTTCAACAAGAAAGAGCCTGACATTTAGATTATATATTTGTTTAATAATTGAACAAACTCTCCCAAAACTCAAACACAAACATTTAACGAAATGAATAAAAATAATGTAAAAATAAGAAAATGACCCCAAAGGCAAAACTGAGACTAAAACTATACACGACATTCAATTATACAACTATAAACTTTTCTTTACCTGTCAGGATCTCTCATTTCTTTCAGTTCCATCACTGAATTTATTCAGTTCAGTGGTTTGGATGAGAAACAAGTGGAAACAAATAATAATAAATAAATCAGCAGTAAAAAAGGAACAGGAACATTATGATCTGGGAAAAAAAGAGGAGAATGTTGTAATCAAGAGTATTTTCATTGTAAGATTTTTTCTTTGGGCTTATATTTGCATTTTCACAAGAAGAATAGAGGATTAACACATTTTAAAGTGGGTTTTAGACAGTGTAACATCAGCAGAAAATAGTACTCCAGTAAAATACATTTGAGGCACTGATGGACAAACAATTATC